GGGTCTCTGCGTGTGACTCTTCAGGGCTTAGCTAGAACAAAGAGAGGAAGGTGAGGTGTGCCCTGTGAAGCAGGTCCTGACACTGCCCCTCCTCTTCCCTGCAGCCTCACCTGAGTCACGTTCCACGCTGCTCCTGGGATCCTGCCTTGGACTTTGGCTCCTACCCCCACACCTACCTAGTCCGGACTTGCTGCTGCCAGGAAGGTGTGGCAGAGGGGTCAGTGAAGTTGAGTGGCCAGGCACCCAGCCCCGCACCGGTGCCACCTTCTGAATCTTTTGTTCCTGCAAACACCCTCCTGTGCTGTGGCTCCTGGATGAGGATTCTGCTGTTCTGGTGTCCCCATTAAAGGGCACCTGCCTCTGACCATTCTGAGTGTGCTGTCTTGTGGGCCTCAGCCTGTGCAACACCCTCTCCCCGCCTCAAGCATTCTGGGAAGGCTGAAGGGGAGAGACATACAACACAGTGTTCTCTGTCATTATCAATAGAAGGCTTTATCCCATGGCAAAAGGAAGAAGCACTATTCTGTGTTTTCACATTTTCTACTCACCTTCTGTCTTTTTTTTTTTCTCTCTGAGTTCCAGTTGGTCATTTTTTAAATTTAAATTTTTTAGTTTATTGGTACATTTTAGGTATACAATACAGTTAGGCCGGGGATTTAGCTCAGTGGTTCCGCCTCCTGCCTTTCAAGCGCAAGGACCCAAGTTTCATTCCTGGTACTAAACAAACAAAAAAACAATACAATAAGGTTACATTCATTATTGGGATCTTGTACCTTTACATGATATCTTGGTTCTTATTTTTTTCCCATTCCCCAACCCTCCCTTCACTCCTCTACCCTTCCCTGTTTACAAAGATATTGTTTCCATGTTTTTCCTTTTCTCATATTTTTTCTTTTGCCATCTTACCTTTCCCCTACCCCTCCCACTTCCCCTACTTTTTTAGACCTTTTCTTCCTATTACTATCAACTTTACATTTTGATCTTTACATTTTTAGTTTTTCATACCAGAGAAACTATTTGGTGTTTACACAGGTGTGTCTTATTATTTTCAGTTAAGGGCCGGGCATTTAGCTCAGTGGTTTTGCTGCCTGCCTCATAAGCATAAGGTCCCAAGTTCGATCCCTGCTACCAAAAAAAAAGAAATTCTGTATTTCAGTTAGGAGTATGGCCTCAGTGTGCATTCACTTACTATGAATGTCTCTAGTTTCTTGTTCTTTATGGCTGAATTTTTTAATTAAAAAACACATCTTCTTTATCCAGTGTCTAGTTGATGCGTAATTGGGTTGTTTCCAAGTTTTAGCTGTTACAAACGGTGCAGCTATAAACATGGGTGCGCATATATCAATGTGGTATGATTCTTTTAATTCTTTTGGGAAGATACCCAGCAGAAGAATAGCTAGGTCAAATGGGACTTCTAATCCTAGTTGTTTGAGGTATCTCCATATTGATTTCCACAGTGGTTGCAACAGTTAAGGGTTCCTTTCTTCCCAGAACCCCACTTCTGTCTTGGTCTTCTCTGGCCTTCAGAGGATGAGAATCCAATCCATTGGGCATTCTTGTCCTCTTGACCTAAGGAAGATGGGTAGGTCCTGGCTTGGCCTCCAGGGCTGTTGTCACCAGAACTTAGGTCAGCAGTGAACTCATGGGAGAGTGAGGACAATGCCATGAGTCTAGATTGTACTGAAATAAAACCTTGGGGTCCCAGCCCTGGGGTGCTGGGACAGTATTGGGTGAACACATTCTTTAGAAAATCACTAGTATCCTTGTGGCCTGAGGGATAGATCTCTGCAGGGTTTATCACACCCAGCAGAGTAATCTTGCTTGATCAGCCTGATCCCACAGGTGGCTCAGCTGTCTGAAGTGAGGTTAGAACAAGACGGGGCCTGGCAAGCAGTAGGGTCTAGATGAGTGAAGATGGACCCTGGGTCGCAGCCAGCTGAGCTTCAAGATGGCCCATTCCCAAGTGAGGTGCGGGGCCCAGTGGTCTTGACAAATTCTGCTCTTGGGGATGGAGAGGGCTATGGAGATGAGAAGCGGCTGACTGCTGGGCTACAGCAAGCTGGACCTCATCACCAGTTACCACCAACTTCAGGGGCCAGGCAGGGACCTGAACCTCCAGTCCCCAGGGGCTGCACTATTGGCCATCAGCATGAAATCAATGACCTGTTTGGGGACAAGAAATGGCTGATCCTGGGCCACAGCAAAGACCTCATCATCAAGTTCAAATTCAAGATGCTCTGAACTTGCTAGGGGTCCTAGCCTGCTCCCAGTAGGGACAGATCATCTACTGAGACTTGACTTGCTCAGGTCCAGACCTTGGGCTTTGATCATGAGAATGGAAATGGATGGGGAAGGGTGGCATCAAGAAAACCAGGTCAGAGCCAGGCATGGTGGTGCACACCTGTAATCCCAGCACTTGGGAAGGCTGAGGCATGAAGATCACTGTGAGTTCGAGACCAACCTGGGCTACATATACATAGTTCCAGGTCAGTCTCAACTACATAGTGACACCCTGTCTCAAAAAACCAAACCAATCAAAACACCCAGGTCAGACATGCTGGTCTCAAGATCCTTACACAAAATAAAATACTGATTTATTGAGTGCCTAGTCTATGCCACTGTTCTAGACACTTCATACCGGTTATTTTTTTCTCATCCTCACAACATCCTACAAGGTGGACCTCTTGTTGGTGTATACTTATGGGTTAATAAGTATTATACCCCCTACTTTACAAAGGTGGGAGTTGAAGCCCAGGGAATTTGGCTGACTTAGTTGTTAGCAGGTGCAAATAAAATGGCAGAATACAGACCTTGGCCAGACCTGTGTTCTCTTGCTCGAAAGATTATGGTTTTTAAATAAACATGATGTTTGGCATTGATACCATGTCCCCATGCATGCAAAATACACTACAGAGATGCCCCTAATACTCATACAATATACACTGCACACTGATAGGGTACGGTACAAACCCACAAACTAACTGCACATGCAGTAAGTATACATAAGTCCCTGTGCTAAACCCAAACACTGATAACTCACAAATTTAGTTGAATGTACTAAATATATAATTGGTTAAATGACTACTTAAATACCTGCTTTCAGTGCATACCATGGACTACCTTAGGATCACAAGCTAAGAAAGCATGTGGAATACACTGTAACCCTATCACAGGTTCCAGGCCAACCTGGGCAACTTAGACCTTATCTCAAAAAGGGTCGCTGGAGGGACCTCAGTGTGAAGATCCTGGGTTTAATCTCCAGTATGAAAAAAGTACTCATTGTATTGTTTCTCTTTTGTGAGAAACCCAAAGTGCAAATAAGGAGCATAGTGGAGGACAGATACTGAGAAGTAGGAAGAACTTCAAATGGGAAGGGAAACAAGGGAGGGGAGGGGGAAAAGGGAAAAAGAATGGGAGGGAAAAAGAAATAGCTTTTGTAAATGGGGAGGGGAAGAAGGGTTGGAGGGAGGGGATGAGAAGGTGAAAAAAAGATGTACAGGTACAAATCCCTTATGATGGATGTGATCAGTATGTATGACAAATATATACTAATAAAAAGTAAGGTTTTAAAAAGAAAGCAAAAACTCCAGAGAGCACAAGTTTACCTGAGGTGAAGGGGGAGGGGAGCATATCTAGTGCCACAGCAGGCACTAGCGGGGAAGAGTACAGCACATGGATTCACACACACACACACACACACACACACACACACATCCCTCACCATCTTGAGCATCTCAAACATAGGTTACAACAAATTGTGGGCCGTATTCCTGTGTTCATCCACTGCCTGGGACCGTACACATCAGTAAAGGCAGACAGTCCTAAGAAATACCGCCTTCTGGAAATGCAAGTTGGGGGTGGGAAAGGACGAAGGCCCATTATAGGGGATGCCCTGCACAGTGGATGTTCCCCCAAAAGGCTTTAGGCAGTGGGGGCTCCAAGTGCCCTCTGCCTTCACTGTGATATTTGTAGATTCTACCAAATGGAGGCCAAGTTCATCCTGTCCAGGCGAGCAAGGACAGAGGTGGAGGACAGAAGGTGGCTGCTGAGTGAGTGACACAGCATGCGTGAGAGGCACACAACGGAAACAAGCAGCCCTCGCATTCTCGCCCAACAGGGACCCCTGCCTCTCCAACCACTCCCTAAGAACCTAAGTCATTCACATTCATGTTCATATTCATCCTCGGTCATCAGCCTGCATTCCTCCGCTGGGATGGCCGAGCACCCAGCAGCCTGGGATCTGGTCTCACTTCTCCCTCCCGGACACCTTCTCCGGGTGACGCCATCCACCCCAGCTCTGGCCCCACGTCTCACTCCTCAGCCTTTCACTCTGGCCTGGGCTCCACATCCCGACTGGGGCGCTCGCGGCAGGGCTGGACCCATCCCCTCCCCTAAACCCGCCCTTGAGTCGCCTACTTCCTTTCAGTCAGTACCTCTCTCATCACCCCACCTTCGGGGAGAAGGCGCTGGCTCCTCCTCTCCCTCGTGTCACACCGACCAGCCACAGGTCTCAGTCGCCTGAACCTCCCAAAAAGCTCCAGAGCGAAAGAATGAACGAACCAATGAGGGCGGGCGGGCGAGCGTGCTGCGAGCGGGGCCAGGCGAGGCGCTGGACAGAGTATTTGCAGCCATAGAGTCCCTCCCCGGGGTGGGGCTAGAGGGGCGCAGGCGTGGCTGGCGTGCCGGGCTCTCCCGGAAGTCTCTGCGGGCCGAGGCGGAAGCGGAAAGCTGTGCGGGGGAGAAGTAGGGAGAGGCGTGTGGACTTTGGTGTCGCTAGGTGAGCTGGTGTGAAGGGAGGCCGCGAGGGTCAGCTCCGACCCGGGCGGGCAGGGGAGGGGCCTGAGAACGCGGGTCCGAGTGGGAGGGGCCCAGTGGGCGGTACCCGAAAAATCTGACCGATTTCGGAGGGCGGGGTCGCGACGCTTCTGAGGGGACGAGGCTCCGGGACCCGCGACTGACTGGTAGCCGATCCGTCCGTCGACCCTGCCTGCGTTCGCGGTGGGGGAACCTCCGGGCTTCGGTCATGGCGGTGCGAGCGTCTTTCGAGAACAACTGTGAGATCGGTTGCTTTGCCAAACTCACCAACACCTACTGCCTGGTGGCCATCGGAGGGTCGGAGAACTTCTACAGGTGCGGCGGAGCGGGAGGGTTGTCGAGGTCGGGAGATCCGGCTGAGCGTGTCCGGGCTGGTGACCTCCGAGTCTGTGTCCCTACAGCGTGTTTGAGGGCGAGCTCGCCGATACCATCCCTGTGGTGCACGCGTCCATCGCCGGCTGCCGCATCATCGGGCGCATGTGTGTGGGTAAGGCATGTGGAGGACGCCTAGGGAGAGTGGAGAGTCCAAGCACCATTAATTATTAATCGTATCCCTGGAGGGGACGCGGAGTGACCTAGGAGTTTCCAGGCCTTCGTTCATTATCTCCGTGGACTGTGGAATCTCTCGGGGCTGAGTAGGACCCAGTCTGAGAGCAGTCAGGGGAACAAGAGTTCTTGAGAATAATAAATACAAATGACAGTCAAAAGAAATAGCACAATCAGGTGCATTGTCGCACGGCTGTATCCTAGCTACTTAGAATGCTGAGGCAGAGGGATGGATGGCAAGTTGGATCCCAACCTGGGCACCTTAGGGCGACTGTAAACGTGAAAAAGGCAAGTCGCTCTGTTTTTATTTTTGTTTTTGATAACGGGAATCGAACTCAGGGCCTCATGCTTGCCAGGTAGGTGCTGTACCCCTGTGCTACATCCCTGGCCGAGAAACAAGTACTTTTGCTCTTGTTCTCTAGAAGTACAAATCGGTGTCTTTTTTTAAAATTAGAAATTAGTATCTTAATTTGGCTAATGAGGAAATGAGATTAGGGAGTCTAGGTGACTCACCAAGTACCACACCTATTGTGGAGAAGGATTTTAATTTTGTCTCTTTTCTGCCACCGACTGACTGTATAGACAAGCTTCTTCCTGGTTCTGAGCATCCATTTCTGCCTCTGTGAAATGATACAGGCTCAGAGGCTGGGTTATCTTGTACATTTAAATCCTCAGTTCCCATTTCCATGCCTGGCATTTCTGCTCTGATCTGCCATAGCTGTCAGCTGTGGCCATTCCTCCTTTCTTTAGGGTAGCTCTGTGTCCTGATAGTGCCACCTCTTGTTTCTTACTTTGCCGATTGGGTTCACAGAAGTCTTATTTTTTTACTTTCAATTAAGAAAAATCTTAAACATTATGACCTTGTTTTCTAATTCATTTCAAACACTTTGATCGAAGAACAGGAAAACAACACCCTGATCTCTATCCATGTCCGTGAGATTTGAAGAAAACTCAGAGAATGAGGGTGAATGTAGCTTAGCCCTTGTATTATAAGAGAGCAGCTCTTAGTTCTGAGGTTCAGAGTTGTGGCCTTACAAGGACACAGAGAATTTTAGCTGTAGTTCTGAAGGTGTCATTAAACTTTGTTCTGTTTTGTTGGCATGGAGTAGCTTTTGTAGGGATATTCCAGAGTGGATTCCATTTATTCTTTGGTTTCTTTTTTTTTTTTGTACCAGGAATTGAACTTGGGTCCTTGTGCTTGCAAGCAGGCGGCAGAACCACTGAGCTAAATCCCCGGCCCCTGCATTTATTCTTTCGGACAGTTTGCCATTTGGTCTCTTAGTAATAGTACTTCTCTATAAATATGAATATATGTCTTTCTTTTCTCTTTTTTTTTTGTGATAGGGTCTTGCTATGTAGTTCTGGCTGATTTTTCGTTTTTTGGTACTTTGGTACTGGGGATAGAACTTGGGAGATTGTTCTTGCGAGGCAGGTGGCAAAACTACTGAGCTAAATCTCCAGCCCTCAGGCTCATCTTGAACTCACTGTGTCCCAGGCTGGCCTCGACTTCATGGTGATCCTCCTCCCTCAGCCTCCCAAGTGCTGGGACTACAGGTGTTCTGGTGGCAATATGTATATATTTCTGTTGGCTGTAGAATACCCACAAGTTATTCTACATTAGGCATTCTCCATTTTATAGTGTAGAAGTTAGGCAGAGTCACAGTTTATGTGACTATCTGGAGGTAATGCTATACGATTATTGAAAGTGGTTGACCTTTTCCCTCTGTCAGTGTATGAGTTTCATTTGTTCCACATGTTTTTTTGCCAGCATTTGGTAGTGACATTCAATTGAAATTTTTAGCCACTGTTATATGTATGTAACGTTAGGTACATGTAGTTTTTAGGTATCAAAATACACAGTGTGGGGCCAGGGATTTAGCTCAGTGGTGCCATGCCTGCTTCACAATGGCAAGGTCCTGAGTTTGATCCCTGCTACAAAGGGCGCGCGCGCGCACACACACACACACACACACACACACACACACACACAGATCCACAGTGTGCCAAGGGCCATGTCTTTTTCCTACCATCTGATGGTGAGTAAGTAAGTAAGGTCTGTTGGGATAGATTCCTGGCCATTTTGGGCCTGCCCATGGGACCTGGTACTCTTGTAAGATGAATGGATCAGTGCGCTGGACAGCTGGAGTCTGAGCCTCAAGTTGTCCTGGAAAATTAATTGGGCTGGGCTGGGCTGAGCTGGGCTGGGCTATATCTTGATCCCTGAAGTCCCAGAAGCATCTCCTCAGTCATGGTCTGTGTTTGCCTTGTCCTCTAATTTGGGTCTCTCTAGGGAACAGGCATGGACTCCTGCTGCCCAACAACACCACTGACCAGGAGCTGCAGCACATTCGCAACTGCCTGCCAGACTCAGTGCAGATCCGGCGGGTGGAGGAGCGGCTCTCGGCCCTGGGCAATGTTACCACCTGCAATGACTACGTGGCTTTGGTCCACCCAGACCTGGACAGGGTAAGGTAGCCCAACTTGTCTCAAGAGCCGTAGGACCAGCCTAGGATATTAGCTATCGTTTTTCACGCCACAGGCTGACATTAGCATCACCTCTTGTGGTTTCTCTGCATTTCAGGCAGTCAGTAGGAATAGCGGTAACAGGGGCCTCGGTGGTATGGTCAGTGTCAAGCTGGGAGACCATTAATCCTTCAGGATTAGGGAGATTCAGGGAGTGTGTCCCAGGCGTGGGCCAGGACAGATGACTAACAGTTGAACTGGAGGATGTGTTAGAGGGAAAAGGTTGACATGGAGGCCAGTCCCCAGTGTTCAGGGCATGCTTGGGGCTGAGGGGTTGCAGAGCTGGCCCAGCTCTATGCTAAGCTCTACCTTGTCCTTTCCCTGAGTGAGGCTTCCATGTATAGCTGTGTAGCAGAGAAATGAGGGCTCTGAGTTCTGGCACGGAGAGCCCCTGTTTCTCTGGCTTACCCATCCTGAGCGACAGCATTTTTGATGGACAGGAGACAGAAGAAATCCTGGCTGATGTGCTCAAGGTGGAAGTCTTCAGACAGACAGTGGCTGAACAGGTGCTAGTGGGAAGTTACTGTGTCTTCAGCAATCAGGGAGGGCTGGTGCATCCCAAGACTTCAATTGAGGATCAGGATGAGCTGTCCTCTCTTCTCCAGGTGCCCCTTGTGGTAAGACTCCCTGCGTCCTGTCCCATCTCCTGCTGAAGCAGATCCCTTTGCCCAGGACTCTGGACTCACCTGCCCTAGTTTGGGATCAGGGCTGAGGTTCAGGGAGCAGGTTTGGGAAGAGTCCTCACTGGGGCGGTGGCAGACTTGCGCTGCTGGTGCCGTGCCCCACACTGAGCCTGGTCTTGGCAGGCGGGCACTGTGAACCGAGGCAGTGAGGTGATTGCTGCTGGGATGGTGGTGAATGACTGGTGTGCCTTCTGCGGGCTGGACACAACCAGCACGGAGCTGTCGGTGGTGGAGAGCGTCTTCAAGCTGAATGAGGCCCAGCCTAGCACCATTGCCACCAGCATGCGGGATTCCCTCATTGACAGGTACAAGGGACAGGGCGGCTTACTTTGCCTTTGAGGGTGGGGAAGAAGATGCCGCTTAGCATGGGAGTCCTGTTGTGTTTCTCTTGGTAGGTGGTGCTCAAATGTAGGAGTGCATCCACACACTGCCGAGCAGTCACAGGACAGAGGCAGCAAGCATTTCTTGAGCATCTATTTTTCCTTATCTTTGATGATTCAGTTCTCTAGGTTGGTCATTCTGCTGGTCCTTTTTATTTGATCATTGACCATATTTTTTTACAGCTTGTATTTGCATCATTTCATACTCAGCCAGTGCCTAGAACTTGAGACAGAAAAGAAATGATGTTGGTAGGGACGTTTTGAAGGCTCCTCTACAATGCGGAGGAAGGTGGACACGTTGATTCATGCATGTAATCTCACCAATCAGATTGTTGAAGCAGGTGGATCACTGCAAGTTTTAGGCCAGCCTGAACTACGTAATGAGTTCACAGGTAGCCTGCAGTACATCAGAAACCCTGTCTCAAAAAAACAAAACAGATAAGCAAAACATTGAGGAGGCTTCTGATGCCTAAAGAGATTTTGAATAGTTTGCAGTGGGTATTGCATGAGACTCTGCTTGTTTATGCATTAAAAAAATAATCAAAAGAAATACAGGGCCATTACCTAAAGACTAGCAATTGGTTGGTCATTCCACTTCCTTATCTCTCACACCCCGATTAGGACCTCTTGAACCCTGACTTGCTTTGAGGTAATACTCTCTAGAGCAGTGATAGCAATCCTTTTAGAATTTTCAATAATAAACAGCTGGCTGCAGCACAAATGCCATTGATTCTCCAACACAGTGCTAGAGGATAGAAACCCCAAAGTACAGTAATTTCCAAGTGACAAACTTGTGACCCTTCCCTTCCTTTTTCTTCCATTTCTTTGCGTGATATTTTTCTTTTTTTGGGAGGTGGGGTACTGGGGAGTGAAGTTTGGTCCTTGCATTTGGGAGGCAGGCAGTGGAACCACTGAATGAAATCCCCTGTCCTTGCCTGATATTTTTGATCTTTGCAGGCAAAGCTCCATGGGGCATGACCCAGGGAAAAAGTATGTGGTAGCCACATACTACTTAGCTTTCTTCAAGGAGAATTTAAAGTATAGTAAGGCCCTGATTTATGAATGAGTTTCATTCTGGGAGAATGCTTCTAAGTTGGATTCGTTTGTAAGTCTGACAGAGTGAGTCATCTGTACCTTTGACACAAATAGACAGTGTAAAGCATAAAAAAACCACAATACTGTAAATAAACAGTTTTTACTTTTATAGTTACCTTGAAATGGTGGTACAGTGTTAAGTTTAAAGTGAGCTTCTTCCATGATTTATTCACATCTACAAATGTTCATAATGACAGGTCTGTATCTATGAAAATTCCCAACTTGAATGTAAGTTGGGGACTTAATATACCTTACTTGTCCTCAGATGGATGACTTGGAATGCATGGTGAGAAACTTTCTTTGATCCTGTAAGTTTTATAAAGGATGGGTAATCTCACTTCAGGGAGTGAGTAGGTATTTGAGTATACAGAGTTGGGCAGATACAGAGATGGGACAGTGTGAAGGGGAAAGGTCATATTCCCAGAGTGCCCAGGACTTTGCCCACTGAGGAAGGTTTGACTGGTATCCTGCGGTTTGGGGTTTCACGTAGTTTGGGAATCCCATTTATGGAATTTACTGATGTTAGCCCTCAGATTCTGATTCCCTAAGTCTGGATTAGGGCCCATCTCTTGTGCTTTTTCTTTTAATAAGCTACCCTGGGTTATTCTGATTGGGGCATTTTGGGAACCACACTCAGTAACTCTGCCATCAGTAGTGGTAAGTAATTGAAGATTTAGGTTTTTCTGTTTGTTTTTCCCTCTGGCACTGGGGATGGAACACAGAGCTTACTGCTTGCTAAGGAAGTATAACACTAAGCTACATCCTAGCCTGAAAAGTCTTATTCAGTAACTTTTTACATGCCATGCCACAATGATATGGCAATGAGTAAAATGAATTTCCTGTCCTTTTTGGAGGATTGTAGGATTGTAAGGAAGACAGTTTTTTTTTGTTTTGTTTTGTTTTTATTTTAAAGACAGGGTCTCACTTTCTAGTTCAGGCTGGCCCTGAATCTATTATGTAGCTCAGGCTGGCCTTGAACTCTTGACGTTCCTCCTGCCTCTTCCTCATGAGTGCTGGGATTGCAGTCATGAGCCACTATGCTGGGCTAGGAAGACAATACTTACATAGGTAATTATTTGATTAAACAACAATAAATCTCTTAGCAACCTAAAAGAAATTACAGTGATGTAATAGTTGATAATACCAAGAAACTCCAGCAAATGTTGCATTTACTGGTAAAACTTTAGAAATTCACTAAAGTCAGGCAGAATTGTTACATTCCCTGGCACTGGTCAGCCTTTTTCTGGTACTTCTCTGCTGTGTAGTCAGATAATATACAGAAATGGTTATTTGAAAGGAAGCGAGCATACTCACTAGCATTTTTGGTTTATGGACACATTTTGTTTGAAGTGTCTGTAAGACCTCAGGATGAAGACGTTAGATAAGTGATTACAATATGTACATATTCCAGTTATAATCATAAACCAGACTTATTATCTCCAGTAGTAATGTTCTTCAGTTGATCCTTTCAGATCAGATCTCTTTTTCAGCCTATTGCGTGCAGTCTTTGTGTTTAGGTAGCACCAATAAAAGGGAATCTGGAAAAGGAGTCTGGTCCAGCCTGGTGTCTGGGTGACTTGTGGTCTGAGCACATCAATTCCTCTGACCAAATTCCCCTGTTCCCTTTTGTAATATTCTTAGGTTCTGGTTTTTATGGTCAGTACCTAAACATGGTAGTCCAACCAGAGTGGGAAAAGAATCTTAGTCTTTAAACACTGAGAACTCCAAACTAGACTGTGTGACATGGGATGCAGATGGGCCCAGGCGGGTCTCTGCGTGTGACTCTTCAGGGCTTAGCTAGAACAAAGAGAGGAAGGTGAGGTGTGCCCTGTGAAGCAGGTCCTGACACTGCCCCTCCTCTTCCCTGCAGCCTCACCTGAGTCACGTTCCACGCTGCTCCTGGGATCCTGCCTTGGACTTTGGCTCCTACCCCCACACCTACCTAGTCCGGACTTGCTGCTGCCAGGAAGGTGTGGCAGAGGGGTCAGTGAAGTTGAGTGGCCAGGCACCCAGCCCCGCACCGGTGCCACCTTCTGAATCTTTTGTTCCTGTAAACACCCTCCTGTGCTGTGGCTCCTGGATGAGGATTCTGCTATTCTGGGGGACCCCATTAAAGGGCACCTGCCTCTGACCATTCTGAGTGTGCTGTCTTGTGGGCCTCAGCCTGTGCAACACCCTCTCCCCGCCTCAAGCATTCTGGGAAGGCTGAAGGGGAGAGACATACAACACAGTGTTCTCTGTCATTATCAACAGAAGGCTTTATCTCATGGCAAAAGGAAGAAGCACTCTTCTGTGTTCTAATTTTCTTTTTTTTTTGGTACCAGGGATTGAACTCTGGTCCTTGCGCTTGCAAGGCAGGCCACCGAACCGCTGAGCTAAATCCCCGGCATGTGTTCTAATTTTCCACACAACTTGTCTTGGTCTTCATAAGAGACATGTTCTACCTTTTACAGCCCACCTGGAGGTATTTTTGGTCCATTTTTGACCAAAGATGTATTGAGGTGGCTGCCCTAGCCACCACCAAGCCCACCCTGCTTTGGTAGCCGAGGGCGCGGCTTAAGGCAGACAGAGGCTGTGCGCTGTTTCCGGGCGGGGCGGGGCTGGCCCTGTGCTTGTGGCCCCGCCCTGGGTGGGAGCTGGCGTTTCCTTCCGGGAGGAAGTCGGGCTACGTCTGTGCGCGGTTTTGGTGACGTCAAGAGGCAGCTCCAACCCGCTAGGTGGTGGGCTCCGCTGACTGTCCCGGCTGCTTCTAGAGGTGAGGATGTAGTTGGGTGTGGGGGGAATCGGTGGGTAGGTGCGGTACTCTAACCCACTACCCTGCTGGACTTCTCGTTCCGCAGACCATGGGTGCTCAGTTGAGCGGCGGCCCGGGCATCCCTGAACCAACACAGCCAGATCCCGAGGCGCCAGCGCCTCCAGAGCAGCCCCCACTGCAGCCTGAGCCTGGCCCTTGGGGGCCGCTGGACGACGTGCGCTTTCTCATCGTCTGCACCTCCTGGTACTGACTCAGCCTTCCCAGGAGGATGCCGAGCCCGAGCTCCCCTTCCCCGGTCCGTGCATCCTTGGCAAAGGCCGGCCTCATCTTTCCCTACAACTCCGTGTGTCTTACCTATCTCCGTAGACAGACGGAGAACCTGAAGAGCCCTGGAGCCCTGGAAGGGCTTCCTCGTGAGCATCGGTCATCCAATCCTGAACTTGTTAGCCTGCCAGTAGGTCAAAGTCAGCTTCGACCTTCGTATTTACCCCCACTCGTGTACAGCTGTCTGTCTGGTTGCAGCCTTCCCCAAACCAGAACCAGGCCAGGCCTTTTGGTAAGATCCTATGGCTGCTGATTGCACAGTCTGACCCTTATTATTAGAACTGTGTCCCAGATCATGGCATTATGTGACTTGAGCCCAAAAAAGTCTGCCAGTGAGGCTTCCCATACCCCTCTTTTTTTCTTTCTTCTTTTTTTGCATGTCAGTTCTTTTATTGAACCAGTCATATTTGAAGCCAGCACAGTGCGTACGGAATGGACATCTGCAGTAGACTAACCAGCTGACAAATAAGAAGGACCCAAACTCTTAATGGAATTGCTCTCCACCCTTTTTGGAGAAGATGTCTGATTGCTAAACTAGCAGATGATGTTTGGGGCAGCTCTAAAACACCACAGGGTACCCTGCAGCTTTGTAAGGTCACCTCCTAGAACCTGACGATCTTTGTTCCCACACCCCAGAGAAATGCCACACTCTTTCTTTCTGTTTTATTTAGAAATGATTTAAAAAACATTATACAAAGGCTGATCAGTTTAAAATGTGACCGACACTGAAATGCTGTGATTTCCCCCAGGCTGAGGGAAAGCTGGGCTCTTGGGCCACCAGCGCTTTGCCCCTCTGTCTTTCTGCCCTGTCCTGGGGTGGTGAACAAACAATGACCAGAGGCAGGAGAATCCAAGATTGGAAGCCTCCAGGCTGAGCCCTCTCTGGGCCTGGCCCCACATGCCTCACATCTGCAGCCTGGGCTGCCTGCCTCCATCTCCTGCTCTTTCTCAGCTGGCTTTGTAGTAGTACCAGGAGCCGACTGGAGCCAGGGAGGCGGGGGGCCTAGAGCTTTCAGAAAGTGAGAGCACCAACCTGAGGAGTGGAGAGGGGCCAGGAAGGGAGAGATGGATAGAGGACACACTTATCTCACACCTCAGAGAGGTCCACAGGTGGAGACAGAAGACCCAGCCAGCCCTGGGATGGCCCTGGGAAGTAACAGAACCTCTCTGTGCTTCATGCGAGGGCATGATGAGAGCTACCCTCGACCTCCCAGGGCCTATACGAATTTCATGTTAGTGGACAGGTGTTAGCTAATAAAGTGCTTTGCAAAGTATAAAACACTGTACAAACCTATGAATCACTAATATCTCTGCAGTTGTTCCCTGCCTGCCCCAGGGAGCCTGCCCTTGGCCAAAAAGGAAAAAACAAAACAACAACAAAAAAAACATGGTGATGAAAGGGGACACAGTGGACTCACATAGGTGCCTCTGGCACCATAGATTTAACTCAGGACAGTTCACAGGGTAGCAGGAGTCCCTGTCTGTGCTACAGGGTAGGCTGACCCAAAGCCCAGAGGCCACAGGGTGGGGGCAAGGCCCATGTGGGCTCAAAGGGCAGGAGTGGCATCTGAGACCCTGCCAGCACCCTGAAGACTCCACCACTTTTTGGCTTTGGCAGAGGGCTAGTGGATGTCACTGCACCCCTTGGTCTTGCCTAGGGCGCCTCAGTGACAAGAAGTGCTGCCTGCTGAGATGGAGCAAGGCAAGCTGAGCCCTAGGAACTCCTGCCAGAAGTGAGCACTGGGCCCAAGAAAGTAAAAAAGGGAGGCCCCTAGGCTTGGGGCTGCTACCAGTTGGAGCTGCCCTTTTCCTAAGAGCAGTACAGGAAGAGGGGCCCAGTGAACTGGGTTGCCAGGGCTAAGCACATGGCATGACATTGCTTCTGGGCGGAGACAGAGGCCTCAGGGTAGCTGCGGGTGTGGGTGCTGTAAGAAGGCTGCCCTGGGCCCTTTACTCCAAGGCCTTGACAGTGATGGTCCTGGAGCCATCTCTGCTTCACCTGACTAGTCCACGAGAAACAGGCTAGAGCAAGGCTGGGGCAGGGTTAATGGGGGGGCAGTGGAGGACGGTCACAAACTTGATTGGCCTCCAGAAATGGGGTCAGCTCTTGCCCAGCTCTTGAGCCTCACAAGCAGGGCTCCAGCGAGAGTTAGATGGCTAGCATGGCCTTAGGAGCACCTTGGTCCTTATCACCTGGGGTAGGGCCAGCACACTGGCCTCATCACCAAGACAGTCATTGTTAACTCACCTAATGCCTCAAGCAGCCTTTGCAAAATAGGACTTTAAACAGTAGTGACAGGACATTAAATATTCATGAGGTGACAGCTGGGTCCTTTTCAGACCCAGTTGGGCCACAGCCCTGCCTGCAGCATGTGACCCTAAATCCTGGGTCTCAGAGGAGACCTGACAAGTACAGCAGGTTTCCTGAGGGATCTGTTTTCCAGCAAGGAGACCCCAGGCTCGTTGTCCACTGTTGGCAGCAGGGGGGTCCTGCAGCCTTGAAGGACAGGAGGGGTAAAGTGGGTAGGGAAACATCTGACCAGCAGGTGTTGGCAGAAGGGGACTGGGACTGGTGGCATCTCCCAGATGGAGGATGAGAGCTAGTGCTGGCTTCCCGTGGAGGGTGCTGGGTCCTAGCCGGACTGGAGCTGTGGTACCTTCTAGACACCACAAGATTCAGTGACCACAGGGACTCCTGGCACAGTCCCTGCCTCCTGGCATGGCCTAGTCTATTCTCTTGTGTAGAGAATTATTTCACCCAGGATAGAAGGCTGGCACCTGGGTGCTACATGCCTTCCTGGGGCACAGCCCCTGTTGCTCCCTGCCCTCAGCGTAGGCCAACATACCCACCACTTCTACTGTATGATCCTGGCCTTCTGCTGGCCCCAGTGGGCAGTGGCCAGAGTTGCCCCGTAGACCCTGGTGAGGAAGGGCCTGGCTGGCCAGACCGAGTGGATGGAGAGGGTTTTGGGCTGCTCATACCCACTCCTGGACTGGCCGCTTATAGTAGGTGACAGGCTGAGGGCCTGCCTTGTTCTTGAACTGGAAGATGGTATAGACCAGCACCAGGATGCAGAGGGACAGGATGCAGGGGATGACTACGGCCACGGCATTGACGGAGCCTGGCACATCGTTGATGGTCACCATGATGTCCACATCGTCCTGGGGCAGCCGCCGCTCCTTGCGTCGCTCCACCTCCTTCTGGTTGCAGCCCATCCAGTCTCGTAGGATGTTGCGTGGGTACCCTGGCTCCACACTCAGTTTCTGGTTGTCAAATTTCCAGTAGTCCCGGCCCTTGTAGAAGTAGGTGTAATCTGCAGAAATAAGGCCCAGCATCACCATTCCCAGACACTTCCCGGCACTTGCTCTGGGCCAGTGTGAAGCACAGGGTACTGTGGCAGTGTGCAGGAAGGAAGGAAGGGGTACTGTGTTAGGTGGAGGGAGCAGTCTGTTGGAACCTTGGAGGTGGGATAAGTACAGTGCTTGGCTGGATTGCAGAATAAAAAGTGCAGCTGCAGAAAGGGACACAGGTTCTGGGGCCATACACTATCAGCTCAAAAGTGCTGTGAAACCACTAAGGGCTTTAAGTAGAACTAGGAAAGGACCATTCTCAGTGCAGATGCAGCTCTGTCACGTGCCCACAGGCTCCCCCTGAGGGTCAGATCAAGCCCTCATCTTAAGGCTTGGATAGCACTGTTTCCATAATTTTACGACTAAGTCCAGCTCCTGCCTGGGCCAGGAGAGGCAGAGAGCAAGATTTCTCCGGTTTTCAGTAGATAATACCTCCCTGCAAATTACAATTTTTTTTTTTTTTT